AATTATGCTAATGTTTGAAGCAACTTGGGCAGAGCTTCGTAGATAATGAGATAACATTTAGTGTTATACGACATAACGGAAAATTTAGTAGCGGTGTTCATAAATAATCGGCGCGCTTGGGACAATCCTGCCGCAATGTAAACATAGCACAGCGCCCATTATAGAGTCATGGATTAGGTATTCCTGGATGGGACACTCCGCCGATTTTCCGACCACCCGGCGGCGGCGGCGGATTTCCCGACGGCGAGGGCGCTGGCGCCATTTTAGCATTACGGGCTATGGGCGGAGCGTGTCTTTTTGTATACTTTTGTCGTTTATTACTTACCTGTAGCCGATTTTGATGAAAATTTTTGTGAACCTGGTAGAACAGGAATTGAGGAATGTCATGAAAGTATTATTTTCCCAGTTTTGATTTAAGAAGTTGCTTAAATTCTGCTGACAAGTGAGGGTTCGTGATTACAGCCGAAGAGCCAATGTTAGAATAAAGTGAAGTTTTATGCGATAACATGAAAATAAGTTGATATTTGTATTAAATCATCAATAGGAACTTGTTTGACTGCCGAGAAACGATGATATTTGATGATAAATTGCATCGGCAAGTCAAGAATACCGGCTCAGTTTATGGGCATCAGCCATCAGGTAATGATCCCGTATGTGATAGTGACTAAATGGAACCATAATAATTATAAGAAAGAACTTAAAATATGTGTGAAGTCTCTGAAATCGTGTCTTATGAGCTTAAAGTTCGCTAATTTCGCCCTCCAATACCGCGTTTTTAGCACGCAAGCCGGTGCGGCGGCCGCCGGCGCACTCGCCGCCGATGTTTCGGAGCTCCGCCACCAGGGCGGCCGCTTGGTCGCCGGCGCTAGTGTTGGGGAATAGGGAGTGTCCTATCCAGGTATACTTCATCCATGATAGAGTTCAGTGACAGCGCCACTGAACAATGCACAGCGCACTGCGGCAATATTGATATCCGTCGATAATCTAAAAACACGCCTCTTGAAATTGTTCATTGTTTTCAATAGCTTATCTTAGATACTCTCCTAAAATAACAATTTCTAACAAATGTTCAGTTCAGTATTATAAGCTGATCAAAGCTGTTGTGTGATAGGGTTACATTGGCATGAAGTATTAGGAATTTTATCTGAAGAGTGAAGATCAAGACTGAGATGGAACACAAAAACTCTGAACTGATCTCAAGCAAGATATTTTCCAGTAACGTTCATTCCCTTGTATATGCCATCAACCGTCATGAAGCAAAGTGTGTTCTGCCCCGAAAATATGAAAGAAGTATTGAGGAAAGCCTAGTGCATATTTTGATGTGTCTGTGCAATCTTCATAAGGGAAAATTAACACACCTGAAGCCATTAAAGGGACCATCCCACCTTAACATTAGTTTTGAGTTGAGATAGCCAAGTTTGCGGCCAGGCTCAGAAACCACCATTTATCCTGGTCGCAACCCCCGCAGCTTTATGGTGTTCAAGAAATTTCTTCCCTTTACTTGCAGGGTGGGACCAGCTTAGTCCCTATCTCTTAACCATTAGCGGTTTTTGGATGACGTCAGCAGTCATTTCAACGCCCGCCATTCCTTGAACCCGAGTTTTGCTGACCTTGAGCTCCCTTTCTTATCAACGTGAAATCCGTCGTCGGCGCTGAGAGAGCCTATTGCTTTTCATTTTAATTTGAATATTAGAAGATACCCACCACTGGAACTTGGACTGATATTATACCAAGGCCGAAGATGATCAAGCTGCCTGCTATATCTGGAGCTTGGTGTTCAACTTCAACATGGAATAAAAAACAAAATATCAAAGCAAACTGGATATGGTACTGCAAGTTAAAGTCCAAAGAAATTTGAAGAGCTGACAATTGACATTAATTCTTTTCCTGCAAGGTTTCCATATGGAGATCACAGTCACACCATGAAGAAATATTTTTGATGTTAACAGTTATAAGGGGATTTATCTTCCAGTTTTGACGAAAGACGCTGCTGACTGTCTTTGGAAAAGGATGTCGGCATGAGGTGCAATTGTGCTTGTGAAGTGGTTATAACTGGTCCTTTCACAGTATTAAATTAAATGTGCCATTGCAGCCAAGTGTGTTATCATGTAAGGTAAAATCAAGACTACAATGTTGGTTTTACGAGCATTGAGAAGGCTGGTAGGTAACACCTGCCTGTGCTCGTAAATCATGCTGCCAGAGTATTCTAAATTAATTTTATCATACACTTTTGTTGTCCATAATGGTTGCACTATTGTTTGGTATCATATTATTCCATGTAAATATGGTAGTGTAAAGTCCGACCAACATGTTACCAGATTTGAAGCTGTTACGTTACCTAAGTACCTGTTTTTTACTGGCGTGGTGAATGTCACCTGGATTTTGTTTTGAGGTGCAGACCTAGTAACTCTGACTACATGGGTTTGAAGCTATTATCTATTCTGTTTTTACTGGCCTGGTGAATGGCGACTGATGTTGTCCGTGGATGGCACTGAAACAAATTTTGAGTGTTTTGTACAGTGTTTTAATATAATGCTGAGGGCTGAAAGTTGTCTTGTTTAGAGTGGTGAAAGTTCAGGATATGCCAGTCACCATGGTGGGTCAGAGTTAGTGTGTTGCAGTCAGTTCGGCTTCGGCAAGCACACGTATGGGCATACGCATCAAGACCTGCTCTGCCATACTTTCAGCCAATTTTACCTAGGTAAGTCTTTTCTTTTTTCTGCCAAAAGCTATGACATTGTGAATTTCAGCACTGTGGCCTGTGTGTAGCTTTCAGGAAAGCAATTCTAAATAAAGCTCTGATAAAGTGCAAAATCAGCAATGCAGCCCTCTATTACATTTTCTACAACATCTTACTTGTTCCTTGCATGGAGAGAAAAATGCAATGTTATGAATTCGTTTATTCACATAATTTGACAAGCATGCAGTTGCCTGCTACTATCACTGCACAAAACAGAGCAGAAAACATCAGTTGATCAAACACAAGACATAACAGAAGTTTACAACATAGGGCTGCCGAACCTGCTTCCTCCCACCACAGTTGATGCCATTTCCTAGCCTGGCTTGATGTGAGCACTGAATAGCTGCTTTGTCTAATTACAGCTCACTACCATTCAACTTAAACTACTCTCTTTAAAGTAAGAGTGAGAGCGTTCAGTGTTCATAGCAGCTCGACAGACGACAGACAACAAACATCTTGACAAACCAACCAGTATTTGATTTGGCTAATGATTTATGTGCTTGTTGTATCATGGCCAAACTACTTTAACAGCAATAATCCCTGTTTCATCTTGATCTTGCTTTTATTTCCATTTGAACTCAGATCTTGAAACAATCATCTGAAGTGATATCAGATACTGGCTTCTGTTTCTCTTGAAAGCAAGTTAAAACAACAATGATAAACTAAGGCAGGAGATGTGAGTTGTGGCAGTAGATTTTTGATTCAACATATGTCAACCTTATATTGCTTGAGACCTCTGTGACAGACAAACAAATATTTATAGTTTTTTATAGTTTGGATTCTTGGCTTGATTTAGCAGATCAGCTGTGAGCCTGTGAACCTTGACTTTGAAATCACATAAATGTCATGGTACCCGAACGAATCCTCGCATGACATTTCTTCGTAGCACAATTTTTCGTCCGCATTTCTTCGTCTTGGTCTACAAATCTTCGTCGGTGCATGAACGACGAATGAATGAATGAATGCATTTATTTGTCCCTCAATGCTTACTCTTGCATATATTTGCGTTGAAGAAGAAATGTGAGCCGATTTTCATATACCCTGGTGCGAGACAAAGTAATGCGATAGGTACGAATAAATGCCCTGACGAAGATTTGCAGACGAAGAATTGCGATACGAAGAAATGCCATATGAATTGTCCTGGAATCCTTTATTGGCCATCCCTTGATAAGATAAACGCATCATTCGCGCAATATTTGTCGCACTTTGATACCAAACTATTGCTTCCAAATGCCGACGTAAAGAAAACCTTTATGTGACGTCATAGAAACAGCGGATTTCCCAAAAAGTAAACAAAAATAAAAGTCTTATATCTCGAAAACGGGTGAATATTTTCCGGTAAAATTTGGTAGATGTTCATTTTCGCTCTTTGTGATTCACGCTACATCACTTTTATGCCAATTCATTAACTTTTTTGAAGGTGGGAGGGTCCCTTTAACATCACATTTGCATGTAATAATCCTCAAAACACAAACATATTTTTCTCAGGAAACTGGTCAAGAAGTCATGGAAGTGTCAGGTACAGTATGTGTGCAAAGTGGGGTTAAAAATTCCCCGAACTTAATGAGTTGAAATAATGAAAACTCCCTGATACCAGCTTGTTACATGTCATGTACGAGGCCCATGATCCAAAATGAGCATATTTACAGGTAACTTCTTTGCGGAATTCTCAGGGGGGGGGATTAGAGATAAAATTGGTGTGGAAATGCATACAGAATGAATCTAAATCTAACAAGTGTGTCAAATGTGGCCCAAGTTACCTCAGCTTCAGCTGAAATGGGGGAGGAGGGGAGCATTTGGTGACTATAAGGAATTACTTTTTCCACAACCTACATCACCCCACACATTCAAACAATCAGAGCAGTTGAGGATATAGCAGTTGTAGTTATGGTGGGAACCTAACGAACATGGTGATCAAGTGAGGCAAGGATCACAATGCCCAAACATGCTAACTTGAGCACTTTAATACCACAAAAAAAGTTTTCAGTTTCTCACATGTCAGCAATACAGCTTGAGCACTGTGCAGGAGCTACTAATCAAGATAGCTACTAAAAATGGCAATGCTGAGAAATAGTTGACCTTTAGGCAACCTCCAACCATGAACCAGTTCTTTTCATTGAGCACAAATACCTGTCATTGTTCATTTTTGTGGCAGTACCTAAATGCCTCTTTGATCTTGACAATCACTGGAAGCATGCACCCAATCTCCAACCAATGCATGGTTCAACGCCTCCACTTATTGTCAACTATTGTTTTGCAGACTCGGCGGAGTCGCTGGACGACCTGCTGCGGCGGCTGGAGGAGGTTTTTGACGCGCTGGTTGTCGCCCTGGGACCGGAGGCCGGGATGACGCCGGCGCAGATTCTCCAGGCCCAGCTGGACATGCACGAGCTGATAGCGACCATCGAAGGGATCGAGCACCGCGACATTGAGGCGCAGACGGGCGCAGAGCGCATCGTCCGAGACGTCATGAAGCTGCTCGGCGACTTCGGCATCGATCCGCAGTTTCCCAGTACGTGACAGGGCGTCGGCCGTCGACAGCGCGCAACAATTATTAGCCGTAGCCCGTAACGTTTTTACTTTCATGTTTGGGCCATTTTTTACTTACTGTTTATTAAAATCCTCATCAATATTTATGGTAGAGGGTCTTGTATTTTATCAATCAAGTAATTGGGTTTGGTGGCAGTGGAATAAATATTACTTAGTGGAAGGACCTAGGTACTTAATAAAATAAGTTTGGTGGTGGAAGGACCCATTTAAAACCTCCAGTTTCTTCCCCAACATTTGGATGCCTCCATCCCGTGTCCGTCTGACACATGGCCGCCCTGTCTGCAGCGTCTGAGACGCCGACGGCGCTGGACGCGGCGCTGGAGGCCCTGCTCGCCACCCTGGACGGCGCGCTGGAGGTGTACGGACCGCAATACGGCCTTGACCCGTACACGGTGGCGCGCCTGGAGGACGACCTGGCCACCATACAGCAGCACATCGAGGACATCGAGCACGGCCGCGTGTCAGTCACCGACGGCCTGGTGGCCATCGTGGACGACGTGTTCAACCTGCTCCGCGACATCGGCGTGCCGGTCCTGCCCGCCGGTGAGACTACGCGACCTATTAGCAGCAGGAGAGGCGAACGGAGCCTGCTGTGTTGAGGACACTCTGCTTCCTGTGTGCATCCTTTCGGGCAGACTAAAAAAAAGGTTAAATCATATTGCCAATTTCCGCTAATAGCAAACTCAGACTTCGGGCAACCCTAAGCTACTACACTGTTGTGAGTGTGCAAAATACGCAAACAATATTTTTTCCGCAACCTCAGTTCGTGTTTGAAATTCCATTCGTCACTCTCATGAAATATGTAAGTTTTTTTGCACACCATTCTACGTTGTGCTCATTGGAATGCGAGGACCGCATCTTCATTAGAGTCCTTAGAGCGAAACTTTTTCCAAACTGACTGGCTTCGAATGCCGTGTTTCGTCTTTGCAGAATCGGCTATGGGTCTGGGCGAGAAGGCGGCGTACCTGAGGCGGCAGCTAGAGACGGTGCTGGGGGTGTCTCACAGCCGCCGGCCGGCGCTGCCAGAGCCATCCTACGGCCAGATCCGCAAACTCGAGTCGGACCTGCTGGCGCTCGGCGAAAGCCGCGGCGACACGACTCTTTTCCAGGTCGTCTACGACCTGAACATGGTGGCCAGGCAGTTCATTAACCTGCTCTGAGCTCTAGTCTGCAGTGACGGAGTTTTTCTGTGTGTGGCCTTGTGATATAAATTGGGCTGTCTCTTGGTTTGGGGACTTATCATGTTTGTTATATGAAGGGCGAAAACTCCAAAGGGTAGCATTATGAAAGCAATCGTGTGACATTTATTATGTAAGCAGCGAATCACGTAACAATGAGCAATGTGGCTCCGATCAAGGTGAATGACGAATGCCGTTGGGTCGCCGCTGCCGAGGTCTGTCTTCGTGTCTAAGCGGGATCGGTGCGCGGCCGCCCGCTCTGTTGACTGGTGCCTCGTGCAGGACGGAACCCTCCGACGGATGTCGCGGCGGCGCTTCACCTCACGCAGCGGTCGGCAGAGACCCAAACGCCCGCCTAGGTGGCGCCCGGAAACCGCAGCTTCTCGTAGCAAGAGTCGGTGACGGGCAAATGCATCCAGATTTCGTTGGGATTGTTCATGACGGCCAGCGGCACCTGTCGGGGCACGAATGGCCTCACCTATCTGTCCCCTCGGAACATGCGCTCGGCAGGACGGCTCTTACAGGCTCAATGCGAACCCCGCGACCCGCACCGTCCAAAGGTTTGGAGGCAAGATGGTGCGGAAGCCGGATGATGGAAGAAGTCAACTCAGGAGAGTATCAATGCATCAGCATGGTCAAAAATCACGTTAGGTGATGTGAGTGCGATTGCTCTTGTGCCTTGTAACTACACCAAAGATGCTAAAATTTTATGTAGCGTACGCTCTTCTAAATGTGGTTTTCGCGTGTGATCGGTTATCCAAATGCATTGTATTATTCAATAAAGATTTGGGGTTATTCGGCTGTCTTACTTAATTTCGCCATACAACGCTTAGATTGGAAACACGAACCAGCGTTCGATTAATAGAGAAATCCTTAAATCACGGTTTAGCTATGAGAGTTGGAATATCTGACGAGCTGGAACAAAGCGAACGAAATTTCCATTACGATCATTAGACCACACCGGCTGATTCAGTTATCTGTCACCACCAGTACGGTGAATCCGGTCGATGCCTTTATGGAGATCAATTGGTGCGATGCTTATTGCGAGGGAGCGGTGGGAATCATTGGAAAGGGTAACGAATCTTCTGGAGCCATTGGAAAGGAAAATAATTACACAGTGCAAAGAAACGGTAGCTTTGCACAATGACAACACCCATCGCCACACATACAGCATAATGTGATGTGAATAATACTTAACCACATTTACGTTGGAAAATTATCAGCAAGATAAAATGCTGGCGAGACGTTGATAATGAAAATTCATAAAACAACACTGAACCGTCTATCGTTCGCCCGTCCCTGCGACTGACCTTGAGGTCGCTGGCCAGACTCTGGCGGCTGGTGTACTCTCGGAGCATGTAGGCCTGGTCGGCCTCGTGGTACAGTCGCGTGTCGTTGACGCGCACCAGCACACCGTCCACGCGCAGGTAGAACCGCAGCAGCAGGAAGAAACTGCGCGGCATCACTCGCTGTCGGGGCGCGCCAGACGTCAGTCGGGTGACGGGGTGTGAGAGCGTAGGTGGCGGTGGGGATCGACAGATTTAAGTCTACAGTGACCCCCGGCAGCCGATATCGACGTACGGGACGGCCAGCTGGTGGCCTTCACTTCACACTCACCACCACTATCACTACACAGCCATGGCACCCATAAGTGGGCCATTTGCCTATGGTGGCTTTTATACTAGTAAAGCATTAAGAATACATGCAATAGAATTATCTGATTGTGAAAATCGAGTTCATGTCAAGTTATACTCAGCTACCAAATGTGATTTTTTTTGCGGATGACAATCGTCTGCAAGGAACCTATAAGAGTTCAATCGAATGAGAGGCCTAGTCAAAATCGACCAGCAATTCAACCTTCTTAGGTCAGTGGCATTTAGGGCGATACACAGACTAGCATGATTCGAAGTGAATCAACGGGAAGACGAATCCTGGCACCCGTTCACCTCAAACTATCTTACCACTTTGACATTGCATATGGCGCAGCCGTGATCGGCCAGCTCGTCCTCGAAGAGCAGGATGTCCTCGTAGAACATGATCTTCTCCTTTTGCTTCAGCTTCTCCATGTCGATGCGGTCGTCGGTCGGCTGCGGCGCCAGCTTCTGGTGGCCGAGCAGCGTGCCGCGGTAGTCGGTGGTGAACGTCCAGTCGAACGGACGAGACACCGAGTTGATGTGCGGCACGTCACCGCTGCCGACACCACACAGAGGCCGTGAGTGGGTGCATAACGGAAACGATACAGTGGACGGCTACGTATGCGTGCGGCCGTTAAATCGGTCGGTGTTTAAAAATGAAACGCCTTGAGTATGAAAGCCACGTAAAATAACAAAAAGACATCAAACAGGCACGCTATTGTATGGCACAGACAACGCTTAAGTTGTCGATTCAATGACAATGTCACATCGATATCATGCATACCGTGAACTCTTCCACTCATTTGCGCAGGCCACCTTGATGAGGTCCTCGTGGTCGTTAACCCGTTTGAGCGCGTCCAGAGCGTTGAACTCGAGACCGTAGCCGGCTGTGTGCTGTATCCGCAGCGTGTTCTCTGGGAAACACATCTCCGGCAGGCCAGGCAGCGACAACTGCCGGCCGTACCTGACCAAAGACCGCAATGTCACTCAGCAGTGAGATTGACAAAAGCAGTAATGGTCATACCTGACCGTAGTAATGGTACGTCCTGACCGAAGACAGTGATGTCACAAGGCGGTGAGCCGTGATTGACGAAAGCAGTAATGATATTACGGGGAACGACATTAACGATGACCGTCTTACAAGTCACTCATGCCAAAATCCTGCTGTTAACTCATGTGAAATGAATAATAAAAGCACAGTATCTCACAAAGCATCCCCAGGGTGAACCAATGAACCATCCACTCAGTAACTATTCAGTAATTACTAACCTGCAAACTGAGCAGAGGGAGTGGCTCGTGCCGCCTTCAATCGCCTCGCACACCTCTGGCTGACGACATGTGGACTCCAGGATGTGCGACTTGGAAACAGTCAGCGTCCATGGGCCAAAGTCGAATGTTTGCACTTGAGGCTGGGACGGCCGGGCCGCCGGACTGCCTCGTACAGAGCTCATACTCTGACCTCAGGCCAGACTCTGCGCCCTGTGGTAAGATAAAATGTTTTGTCACCACTAGTTGCGAGTCCATTAGAGCTTTAGAGTCTGAGCATCCACAGTGTTAGCAAGAATGGTATTATTAGTATCCAACCAAAAAAAAAAAAAGAAGCAGAAAGATTAAACTGCAAAATAAAGGATGAAAAGTACATACCCAACAAATGCCAAAGCATATATTCTTTGCCGCGTTTTGGCCACACCTCAGTTTTTTTTTTTTTTGCAAGTATAAAGAAAAGCGTGGCGCGAAGTGCAGCATAACTTGATACAGTCCATGCCCTATTAATTATGGTACATCAATTTCGCATTGTGTGTAAAAATTTGACCCCAGGTCACATAAGGCCAGGTCACCAAGTCAATTCAGCAACTTCTACAGCATACATCCCAGAAGTATGAAACTCAAGCCACAGATAACAGTAGTACTACTGTTATCTGTGCTCAAGCTAATGCATGAGAGAAACAGTACCAACAATTTGAATATCTCAGAATTATGATATCAGTGACCCAAGGTCAGGCCAATTTTGCGACCTCCCCATTATAACTCAATGGGAAAAATTGAAATACTGTTCTTTTGTTTGAAAACACCTTCAAACATTGGGAGTGGGACACAGGTGAACATGACACATTGAACCAGAAAATTGCACCTGTGGGCCGTTTTATGCCCCCATGAGGTTATCTCAGATCATGAAAAATCTCCAACAGTTTTTTTACAATAACTTTATATAGAAACATGCTAGAATACCTAGAGAAAACACCATGAATGTTTTCAGTTCAACAACACAAATCAAATGAAATGCAACATGACCTTTTCTGTGACCTTGAACTGAGGTCAAATTTTTAAGAAGATCTTTTCAGGTTAACTTATGGTTCAGTCAACTCAACTCAACAAGAAAAACATGATGTTGGCAAAATCAGCATAACACGAGCTTGGAGTCAAAAGTTATCACACAAATACTTCTTTTGCAAACACATCAAGTTTTGTAAGTTGTTGCCCTCTGGGGGCTAAACCATTGACCTTAGGTTAAATCAGAAAACAATTATCACTCTCAGAGACCTTTCGAAGAGCTATCAAGTGCACTTTCCTCAGTGCTGTAGCTCCATTGGTGCCTGATTACCATTACCAGACTGGGACACCAATTTATGAAGTTTTTTTTTAAATTTAGTTGAAACATTTTGAATGGAAGGATTCACAAGGACAGAGCCCCCCCCCCCCCCAAGGCAAAGGTTGTTGCGTTGACCCTGCCCTCTACCCTCCAATCACACAATCCTGGCTCTATGGCAGCATTTGGAGTACCGTAAACCGGGGTGACTTTGTATCACTTTTGACCAGTATGGTACAATATATCCTATATCACTTGAGATTTCACTCTGGAAACTGTTTCATCATACCAATTGGACAATTCTCTATCTAACTGAGTACAATAAATGTCTTGAAATTTATCATAAATATTTTATTTTTTAACAAAAAAAAATGATCATTCTCACCCAGAGGTCGGGGTGACTATGATCACTACATTAAAATCACCTTATATGTGCCATAGGAGCCCTCAGAAGGGGTTTGTGTGATAAACTTACATGTTTTAAATAAAAGCAAAGGCTTTGCTTGACATAAACTCAAACATTTTACAGCAAAACTATGAATCATTGAGGTATTAAAATAAAGTTGCATGCTCTGGGTCTAAACTCACATTACTGAGCTATAAGTAGCAAAATTGGCTACTTTAACCTCTGACTTCAAGATTAAGTAGCAGTCACAGATGTCCTAAGCCACAGGCTACCTGTTCTACATCACACTTTGTCTGCTGGTGGCTGTGGGACTGCTTGCCACACTGCTCATGCCCCTCCCAGTCGATTGTCTTTTTCACTTCCCATTGACGCTCCAATTACCACTGAGTAGAGCAGCTCAATGCTCATCCTCCATCATCAGTATCGAAGCCTTTCCTTTATCTTTCTTTATCTGGTTCTTTCTCATCTTTACCATTATTATTGCTGGAGATGCTAGCGAATTTATACTTCATGACAATGATAACAAAAAAACAAGCTGTGACATCAACATGATTATTCTAACTGGGGCCCAAAGTGTCTGCTATAATGCTTCATTGCTTTATTTAATCATTGGCATAGCAAATACAGTTCACAGCAGCTAAATGCTCATTTGAGGCCCGAAATTGGTCTATGATCAAAGTCACCCCGGGTATCACTGTCACCCCGGTTTATGGTATGCAAAAGGTGCCTTACTGAGGAATGCTTGCCTTGCAGGGTTCCCTAATCCCTAAGCCTGAGGGTTCATTTCCCTCTTATAAAACTAAAGAGTTATTCCTATATTGAAACATACAAAATAATCGCTTTCATATAAAAAGGTTCTATTTCCTTTGCTGATCATTCTGAGCACAAAAATCATAAATCCATTGCAAAAAAAAACGAATTTCGTGAAAGTGAACTATTCCCTTTAAGCAGCTTTTTTGACCCATACCACAGTTGCTTAAAAAGAAGCTTTGTCCTCCGTTACATCAATTAAATAAGATCTTGAGCTAAGTAAGGGTATTAAATATTTAATTACATACACCAAGGCCGTGTCCGTGACCACACTAGAACAAAAACAAAACAATCAGTACTCGGCCCCGCGTGCCCGCGGCCCGCACAGACACAGACCATAAATGTCGCCAAAGCGTCA